AAACTGGCAACCAGGGAATCCAAGATAAGAAAGGTGGTTTTTCTTATTGAGTTTGCTTCTGAAAATAGTGCTTGGAATTGTGTAAAATGTTAGTTTTTTTGTTCAATCAATAAACATTTATTAAGCACCTACTATGTGCTCTTCACTTCCACAGCTACCAGAGAATCAAACAGATACATCAAACAGTCCCTGCCCTCAAGAAGCAATATATACACATAAATGTATGTCTAATATAGATATCATGTCACAGAGATTAACCTAGGCAGCTATGGTCCTATATGTCTCCTCCCTTTCTCAGCCAAACAACTTGAGACAGCTGTGTACACTAGCTGTCTATACTGCCTCCACTTCCTATCTTCTCACTGTATTCCAAATCCTCTGCAATTTGGCTTCTGACTTCATTATTCAGCTGAAACTTCTCTCTCCAAAGGTACCTATGATCTCCTAATTATCAAGTCAAATGGACTTTTCCTATGGGGCAGGTAGGTATCACAGTGGATAGAGCACTGGCCTGGAAGTCAGGAGGACCTGTGTTCAAATCCGACCTCAGATCAAACACTTGACACTTACTAGCTGTGTGACCCTAGGCAAGTCACTTAACCCCAATTGCCTAACCAAAAAAAAAATGGACTTTTCTTAATCTTCAATGATTTCTCTTTGATACTGTTGGTCACTGATCAACTTCTCCTCTGACTACTCCTTCTTGCCTCCTTTCCTGGATCTTTGAGGGTCATGACCACTAACTATGGGTACCATTCAAGGTTCTTTCCTGGTGACTTTTTTCTTTTCCCTCTATACTATCTCTCTTGATGATCACATCTGCTGTCATGGGTTCACATATCATCTCTTTGTCAATGATTCTCAGATCTATATGTCCTGCCCTATCTCTCTTCTGAACTCCAGTCATCTTGGACATCTCAAATTAGGTGGGCTGTAGGTGCTGAGAACACATTATCTTCCCCGACCCAAACCCTTCCCTCTTCAGAATGTCATTATTACTGTGAAGGGTACCAGCAACCAACCTGTCATCCAGGCTCAAAACTTTGATATCATTGTCAATCACCCATTCGAACCTTCTCCACATATTGAATCTGTTGTCAAATCTTGTGGTTTTTATCTTCACAACATCTCTCATATGACCCCCTCTCTCCTCTCACACAGCCACTACCCTAGATCAAGCCTTGGTTGAATATTTATGGGACTATTATAAAAGCTTTATTAGTCTCCCTGTCTCAGGTGTCTCCCTACTCCAATCCATCCTCCATTTAGCCACTAAAGGCCATGTCAGAATTCAAGGGGGGAAGGGGGAGAGAGAGGTCATGTATATAGCCATCTCATCTTCAGCAAATAGGGATAATTTTGTCTTGTCTTTGCCTATGTCTATGCTTTTAACTTTTTTCTTTTGTCTTATTACTGATGCTAGCACTTCTTGTGGAACTATATCAAATAATAATAGGGAAAGGGAGCATCCTTGATTTACTCATGTATTTATTTGGATCCTAACTCATCCTAAACTATGAACTCCATGAGGTCAGGGACTGTGTCCTTTATAAAGCATTTCCCACAGTATACAAGAAAGTACTTCATAAATTTGTTAAATGAATAAATGAATAAACAAAAATTCAGCCCTGCAGGGAATAACCAAAACTCCTCAGGAAGTAGAGGGCGGGTCTAGACCTTGGACCTCCACTGGTAGAATTTAATTTTAACCAAGATAAATGGAATGTCTTCCCCATTTGTGACTGAAAAAACAAATCCTTCCTGAGTTACTTCCTTTCAGGGTATATGCTCAGTCCCATCAGGTATCCCCTTTGGGTGGGAAGACAGGATGCAAAAGTCAAAGACTTCGAAGAGGGAAGTGCTAAAGGGAGGAAGGTTATCACAGGAGGAACAATGCCAATATAGACAGACCCATGTTATCAACAGTTGTTGTTGTTCAGTCGTGTGTAACTCTTTGTGACCCCATTTGAGGTTTTCTTGGCAAAGATACTGGAGTGGTTTGCCATTTCCTTCTCTAGCTCATTTCACAGATGAGGAAACTGAGGCAAACAACATTAAGTGACATGTCCAGGGTCACATAGCCAGTAAGGCTAGATTTGAATTCAGATGAGTCTTCCTGACTCCAGGCCTGTTGCTCTATCTACTGTACCACATAGGTGCCCCAATTATTGCTATCACTGAGTTTATCATACAAAAGAATTGAGCACAGCACCTAGAGCACTGTTCCGCATGCATAATTTAATCAGACTCAAAGGATTAATAAGTACGTGTTGGAATTAACAGTGTGACAATAATTACCTATTTTTATAATACTTTAATGTTTTCAAAGCATTTTCCTCACATCATCCCTGCCTTTGAGATAGGTAGGGAAAGTATTATTATCCCCAATTAACAGATGAGAAAACCGAGGCTTACATAGGTTAAATGCTTTGCCAATGGTTATAGAATTAATAAGAGTTTGAACTAAGATTCTATGCCACATTTCCTGCCTCCAAATTCAATACTCTTTCCCTCTATATTAATGAATGAAAATTCTCCTTACTCAGAGCTAAGAGGCAGAAGTAGCCTTGATTAAAACCTAGAATTCATCCAACCATTTGATCTGTGAGAAATCAGTTAATCTGGGCCTATTTGTGCCAGGCGGACAAGTGGGTAAGGAGCAGGAATTACAGAAAGTAGATATTCTGCATGAGCAAGTTAAAAACAACCAATATCAACAGTTCCAAAGTTTGCTCTCTGCAGCAGCAGTGTTAATGCATGTTGGCTACTGGGTGGTGGGAGATGGAGGGTAGAAAGGAGATAGGAGAAAGAATAAAGAATCCTGAATCCTGTCCCTTTCTCTCTTAGCTTTTCTCAACTCATAGAAATGCTTCTCAAGGCCAGGCACAGAGAATGGATGGGGCCTCTCTGGCCCCCTGGGGTCAAGGTCAAGACCAGGTCTGGGTCTGAGGACCACACCACCAGGAGTCAATTTTGCCCAGAAGGCCTTATTTCAGGACCCTCTGCTTACAGTTCTGATGTTCCATCTAATTACCAAGGCTCCTTTTGCTAATATGCTCATTAGTGGCACTGAGGATGTGTGATCATCACAAGCAGTGCTGTTAAATTTGCACTAAGAATGGTAGCTGGAGCTGTAATTCGTTTTTGAAATCTGTGAGTGAGAAGAAATTCACACCCACTGATAAACACTTGAATTTCTACTGCTTTGTTCTTTTCTCTGTAAAGTCCATATTTATTTGAATCTAGTGTTCGCCACCCCACTACATGTACCCCAAATTAAAAGGGAATAGGAACACAGTCAAAGAAAAAAGGGCTAGATTCAATGATCTCTAAAGTCTTTGTTCAGTTCTAAAATTTATTATTTTAATTGCTTGAATCTGAGGACCAGGAAGATACTTCTCAGAGATGGTCTTAACGGAAGAAGCCTGTCTCCTCTAAAGCAGCAGAGCTAAGGAAATGTTAATGAGTGACCTGCAATTTGCTTTTCCCCCACAGACTAAAGACCAAGGAAATGTCACAACATGCCCCTAGGTACCAAAACTCAAATTTGAGAGCATTCCTCATCTCCATTCATTGGCAGACCCTATTCTGTTTCTTGCACTCCATTCACGGTATGGTGCAATTTAATCTCCTGACTCAGATGGGGGCATCCAGATTCTTATCTGGATTTTTACCAGGACTGGGTGTTTTGAAAGCTTTCATTAGCTGAGGAACCTGAGACTTTGTGTACACTCAACAGAGATAGCTCCGGTACACACAGAAACCAATGGGAAAGTGGAAGGACTCAAGTCTCAGGCTAGTTTGTTTTGCTGCCTCTGGCTAAACAATCCTCTCTGTATCCTGTTGTAAGCTAGGATTTAACAGAGGCAATTACTTTCCCACCACCTTGACTCCTGGCTTTGTATAATCTTAAATTGAGTTGAAAGGGCTCTTAGTGAATTTTTAGTCTAATCCTTAATTGAGGTCCCAGAGGCGAATTATAGATTTAGGGCTAGAAGAGACCTTAGAGATCATTGAATCCATTTTACAGATGAGAAAACTGAGACCTAGCGAAATTAAGTGACTTACTCAGGATTATACAGCAAGTAGGTCTGAATTGGGATTTGAACTCAGGTCTTCCTAACTCCAAGTCCAGGGCTCTATCCATTAAAGTCAGTGGTGTCATACTCTAAATAGAAAGGGGGTAGTAGAGGGGAGCCATTAATTACACAAAGATCCTTGCAGGGGCATATTAACTTAGTTTTTAAACGCAATGCTATGTTTTATTGTATTTTGTTTATTTTATTTAATATTTCCCAATTCCATTTTAATCTGATTCTGGGAACACTGGCTGGAGTGTTGCTGGCCACAAGCAGCCATTGGGCTCGTGTTTGATACCTCTGTGCTAAACCACTTGTGCTAAGAGAATTGCTCCAGTTCACTTGGTAAATTAATAGCTCCAGGGGTTCTAGAAGTCCCTGACATCGCGGCTAATGTTCTTTTCCCTACATCTGCTTTCCAATTATGAAAGACCTCCAAGAGGCAGCCTACTATAGAGGGGAAATGTGCTGGCTTTACAGTCGGGGCCTGAATCCTAACCCTACTGTCATTCCCTGCCGATGTGGCTTTGGGCAAATCCTCTCTGAGCCTCAGTTTCCTCATCTGTTAAATACGGAAGATTGGACCAGACGGCCTCTACGTTCTTTTACTGCTATAAATTTATGATGATATGCCCTCTTGAGCAAAGCATCCCAGGCCCGGCTCTAAGTCCATATGGGGAATGTCCTTCGAGGCGAGCAGGTTCCGCTCTGTCCCTGCCTGGGGTGGGCTTGCTGCTCTTCCCCATCCACAGCCCTGCGGTTCCAGCCCCTAGCGCAGCCTGGGCAAGTAAGAAGGGAATCTCCAAGCTCCTCGCGCCGCGCACGTGCACGCTGCCAGGCAGCCCCAGAGCCTCCTTGTGCGCGTGCGCGGGGAATGAGCCGGAGGAACACCTCGAAACTCCGCCGCCGGCGAGACAGCGAATGGAACAGCAGAAGGAGCGCGCGCCCCACGAGGGGTAACGGACGCTGCACGGCTCGAGTCCCCGCCGCTAACCCCCCCCTCGGGAGGAACCAGCCTCCGCCCCAGGCCCTTGGCAGGAGGGGGGCACCCCAGCATCCCTACCTGCACACAAGGGGTGTCCCCCCGGGTCTCTGCGTCCCCACAAGAAGAGTGGGGGCGGGGGGGGTTCCCTGCTTTCCCACATACAGAGTCCCCTGAAGGGGATCTCAACTTCCCTACAAAGGGGGTGGGGGGTCACGCTTCCCCACAAGGAGAGTGGGGGGGCACTGCTTCCCCAAAGGGCAGCCTCGGGGGAGAATCTCTGCATGTCTACAAGGGTATAGGGGGAGAGGTCTGTTTCCTCCCAAGGGGAGCCCGTGGGGATCTCTTACTTCCTCACAAGGGGAACCCCTGGGAGAGTCTGTGCTTCCCCTGGGGAAGGATGTCCCCTGGGGGACAGGTCTCTGCTTCTCTGAAAGGGGAATATGAGTCTTTCCACCAAAGAGGACTCCCCCCATCTCTGCTTTCATACAAGGGGAGTCCCCTGGGTGTCTCTGCTTCCTCACAAGGGGAATCCCTGAGGGGGCTTCTGCTTTCACACAAGGGGAATCCCCCTGAGAGTGATTCCCTATCTCTATTTGCCACATAGAGAAGCACTGAGGTCTCCTCCCTTTCATACCAAGGGAGTTCCATGTTCCCAGAGTCTCAGATTCCAGAAAAGGAAGCTTCCTAGCAAGAAGGAATCTGTTACACTCAACTCCTTTGAATCCATCCAAATTTCCATTAGCAAAAGGTACCATTCCTTCTTGCCACAGACTGGCTTCCCTTTTGGAAACTTCTGCTCCTAGCAGTCTTCAGAGGGTCCCTCTCTGAAGCGAGAGAAAGTCTGTCCTCTCTCCAGTGGTTCTGAGTGGAGCCACTAAGTGACTTTACATCATTTGTAAGTATATCTGAATCTTCTGGTCTCTACTACCTGGCATTTCTTGGCATAGGGTGTAATTAGCATGAGTAAGGGACTTCAGTTATCACTGGTTCTTTTCTCAGCAGGACAGTCAAGGAAAAGGAATGGTACCCAACTCACGTGCAGCTGACGATCCTTAGGGCTCAGAATCTACCTGCCAAAGGACGCTCTGGGTTCAGCAATGCCTATGTGATCATCCGGCTCCAGAAAGAGAAATATATGACCTCAGTGGTGCATCATAACCTGAGCCCTGAGTGGAAAGAGGATTGCATCCTTCGGTTGCCGGGTAAACTGGATATTTTGGAGGATCCTAACCTCATCTTAACAGTCAAGCATCATTCACAGTGGTTCGCAGACCAGTTCCTGGGCCAGATATCCATTTCTCTGAAGCAGCTTTTCCAAGACAAAACCAAGAGGAACAATGAGTGAGCAGAGTTGGCTTTTCCCACACAATTGAGGGATTCTCAAACACTTCAGGACAGATTCAGGATTTCTGAACTCTTCCTTCATTCTGCTGAAGCAGGCAGCAGGAGGGAGTAAGGGTAGCAGATGAATAGACAGGGATGCATCATCATGTCAAAGTCACTATCCTCTGCAGGGGTGTCAGTCTAGGATGAAGACCTTGTGAATTAGTAGGGCTATCCCTCTAGAATAAATTAATCTTTCTCATCAACTCTCCCCTCCAAAGGTAAAATGGACATTTTATATCAAGGGTCCCCTAGTATGCATGGCTGCTTTAAGTAAAAATCACAAAATATTAAACCACATCAGTCTCTTGGACCCATGAATCTTTTACCCTTCCTTGAAGGCTCGAAGCTATAATCCCTTTAGAAAATGACTATATGATCCTAGCAATGGGAAAATATTTAAATAAAACCAAGAAAGCAATTTAAGGAATGATTTTCCAACTTGTGAATTATTAGGCCCTTGCCTAACTTCCCTGCTGCTAGCTACCCACTAACAATTTCTCCACCAGATGAAATTCAATTGAGTCTACCATTATCTAAGCTGGTAGAAGGTTAAATGAGGAAAGAAGCTGAAATTATCAGCTTTAATGAAATGTTTAGACTACAGATTCACAAGTTTCAGTTTCCCATTACCATGGGTAACCAAGAATGGGCTATAAATATTACTGGGAATACACTTGAACAATAGAGGGGGAAAAACAACATAAAAATTGCATTTTTAGTGAAGGGAGAATCTTAAGGAGAGGAAAATGAGAGAAGGGATCATGCCATTGAAAAGGGTGAAACAAAGAAATTAGTGGAAGGAGGAACATAGATTCCTGGTGATCAAGGTAGAGGAAAGAAAAGGAGTAACTGAGGCTTGTTACTTCTAGAACTTTTCTTTAAGAATGCCTTTGGGTAAAGGGAGACTAAAAAGGATAGTTTAGCACATCAATTATTTCTTTAATCTCTGATTAAGTTCAATTTCTATAGGACCACTTGGTATGAGGGAATCTTTTGTTGAACAACATGCTAATCATTTCCTTTAAACCAGGGAAACACGTTAACCAAGATGGAGAATGTGTTTGGTAGCAGACCCAAAACATAGAAGGGAAATGGAAATAAAAGAGGAATCTGGGTTTTGTGAAGCTAGGAGGAAATTCTATTTTAGCTGCCTGAGAAAAGATTCATTTTATGTGTAGGGTAAGATTTCAGTGGCTGTGGTATCACTGGCATAGTATGTGGGCAGTTCCTAAAGTGGCAGAAACCAAAGTAGGGTAGCATAGCTGTGCAGGCTTCCAGTGACTTCTTGGGAATTTCTTTCATGTAGGTGGTTCACCTTGCAGTCCAAAAGCAAGAAGACCAACAAGTACCTTGGGCATCTACAACTCAGTATTCAGTTCATGGAGATTTCAGGCCAGGACAGGGAGCCAGTTTTTCCAAGAGACAGTGGGTCATGGGCATCCTTTGGCAAACTGCACAGCAGATTAATGAATAAGAGAAGCAAGATTTATAAAGCAAATCCTTTTCCTATGGTAAGTAAGAATCTGTGTCTCCTGACATTTTTGTTTTCTAATCTTTTCAGTTTTCCTCTTGTTTTTAAAGAACCTGTTACACATTAATCTCTTAAGAATGATATGATTCTTGGGGGCAGCTGGGGGGGGCAGCTAGGTGGCGCAGTGGATAGAGCACCGGCCCTGGAGTCAGGAGGACCTGAGTTCAAATTCGGCCTCAGACACTTAATACTTAGTAGCAGTATGACCCTGGGCAAGTCACTTAACCCCATTGCCTAGCCCCCCCCCCAAAATGATATGATTCTGACCAGTATCAAGGTAAATTGAAATATGGAAGGGCCTGCTCTTTAAAGCCACAGTATAGGGATTATGGGGATGTGGCAGTTAGTCTTAAGCAGCCCCTAAATCACTGCAACATTAATCCTCATATACAGGGACAGAATTTCTTTTAGTACCAAAATTTGAGTAAATTTCAGTTAATAGTTGCTAGGATTCCAGATCCCTCATCCTTGAGGCTAATTAATTTGCCAGATTTCAGCTTAGGAACCTGCCAGATGGTTATGAAATAGTACCTCACGTGAAACTATAGGGTTTTCACATCTACACGATCCATTACCCTTTGTTTGTTCCTTGTTTCCAGCCCAGTATTGGTGACTACAGCTATGTTAATGAATCAGAGAAGGCATCAATTACTGCCCCTAGTTCTTCAGGATACACATTTCCAGCTAGAGGTAAGTTGTTATTGAGAGGATTGGAAGAGAACAGTAATTTGATAAGAACTGAACTTAACCTTAGGTTAGTGGTTTACTGCTTCTTCCCTGCCACTTCCATACCATCCCTTTGCTTCTATCATTCAGTAACCTTTTCACCATTGAAGTTTATTCCATCAGTCTATATATCACCCTATCCAAATCCTTGTTACAGTCATCTGTTGACCCTTAGGTCATTCCTCCTCCTTTCTCAAAGGAGTTCAGTACAAGTCTTCCTCTCTACCTTAATCCCTACCTACTTACTTGAGGTTGTGAATATAAATATTGATGCCCCCTCAAAAACCCTGGCCTTCTAGTTCAACAACCTCCTCAGCTCTCATGACTTACACCTTTACTCCACTGCCACCACACACAGAGATACCCTTGGTCTCATCCTCAGCTGACAGATCTACCTCTGTGATCTAGAACTCTCAGATTCCTCTCTACTGTCACAAACTCTTTTCATTCCATCTTTCCCTCTGCTTTGCTTCTCTTAATCCTTTTCTGTGCTCTCACCAACTAGTCCATCTACTTCATCCCTACCTACTTTTCCAATTCATCCCCCCCCCATTCTATACACATTTCCCTCCCTTCCCATGCTTAACCCTATAGTTAGTTACCCAAGGACTTTGTGACTTCTTTACTCTCTTGTCTTTTTGGCTCTTATACCATACTCACCCCCAATCATGGATTACTCCTACCATGTGCCTTCTCTTTTCCTTCTTGTGCTGCACAGCACTAGTTGAGCCCCAGTACAAATTTATGTTAATCTAATCTCAACTAGGATCTCACTACTGCACAGCAATCCTTTCCTTATCTACTAACTCCTTTCCTACCGCCTGCAAACATGCTCAAATTTTCCCCATTATTAAAAAAATAAATCATTTAACCCTGCTATCCCTTCAAGTATCATTCTGTATCTTGCCTTCATCGAATTTCCTAGGAAAAAGTATCTACATTTGTTTCTACTTCCTTACTTTCCCATTTGCTTCTTAGCAATCTTATCCCATTACTACATTGAAATTACTTTCTCCCCAGTTGCCAGTGATCACTTTATTGCTAAATCTGATGGCCTTTTCTCAGTCTTAGCCTTTTACCTATTTGTAGCTTTTGGTACTATTGATCTACCTTCTTCCTCCTAAAAACTCCTCCTCTGGCATTCTTGATACTACTCTTACCTGGTTCTCCAGTTTGTCCTAGTGCTGCTCCCTCTCAGTCTCCTTTGCTGAGTCACTATTCATTTCCTGCTCCCTTGGGGGAGGAGGGGAGGATATCCACAAGGACCTGTCTTGGGCCTTCTTCTCTCTCCACATTTGTCTTGGTAGTGTTTTCATCAGCTTTCACAGGTTCAATGATCATCTCTGTAGAGATGACTCCCAAGTCTATATATCTACCCTAATTTCTATCCTGAGTTCCACATCATCAGATGCCTACTAGATATCCTGGATATCCCTTGGCCCTTCAAACTCAACATGTCCCAAATTGGATCTCTATCTTTGGAGAAGGGCCCTGAACTGACCTTTCCTCTAAAACTTCTTCCCTGTTTCTGTTGAGTGCACCTACATCCTCCCTTGTGATATCTTGGACTCATTGACTCTTTATTTTCTCTCACTTGTCATAGCTAGTCAGTTGACAAATCTTGTCAATTCTTTCTCCACAACATATCTCCCAAATTGGTCCCCTTCTTTCCTCTCATAAGGCCACCACCCTAGTTCAGGCCTTTATCACCTCTCAACTGGACTACTGCAGTCACCTCCTAATCGATCACCTTACTTGCAATCCTTTCCCTGCACAATCCATTCTCCACACAGTTGCCAACATAGTCTTTCTAAAGCACAGATCTCACCATGCCACTCCTTTGTTCAATAATTTTCAGTGGTCCCTGTTGCCTCTAGGATAAAGTAAAAACTCTAGTTTGGCATTCAAAGACTATCACAACCTGGCTCCAGTCTACCTTTCCCAGCTTATTTCATATCACTATTCATAAAGTATTCTCCAGTCTAGCCAAATAGTTATATTTGCTATTACCCAAACTTGGCATTTCATCTCCCACCTCTTTGTTATTGCATAGGCAATCCTCTATGCTAGCAATGCATTCCCTCCTCACTTTTGCCTCTTAGAATCCAAGACAGGCAAGATGCCACCTCTTAAGAGAAGCTTTTATGATCCCCCTGACTGGTAATTCTCCTCTCCCTCCCTCACCCACCAGTTATCTTATAGTTACCTCCCTGGGTATATTTTGTACTTCTGCAGTAGAATGTAAGTTCCGTAAGAGCAAGGTTTAATTTTTCTCTTTGTTTTTGTATCTCCCCACATCTAGTACACTGCATTGTCCATAGTAGGCATGTAATAAATGCTTTTTGTTTCTACAATGTTTTGCCATTGACAAACTATACTAACTTTGTGAGTTTTCAGAAAGTCTTTACTCCAAACCAGCTAACTTTGGAGTGGGTGAATTATTGCCTCTGGTTTTTCTGTGTTTCTTTCTTTCTTTTTTCTTTTTTCTTTTTGTTAAATCCACTAGCATCACCTGTTATGCTGGCCCTGGAAACAGATGTCAACACACAAGACAGTACTCAAGGCTTGGGGTTCAAACTTCATTCCTGCCAAGAGATATTCCAGGATTTAAATCAATGCACAGAAGGTATCAGTTCGATACCAAAGCATTCAAGTAGCTATCCAACCATGTCACCCTCCTTACTCCGGCTGCCACGCCAAGAGGCTCCAGACCTGGCCAGCAAGGCATTTACTCCATTCAGCAAAAAGAAATCAAGCCTCCCAAAGGAAAGGGACTGTGAAGACTTTTGGGAGATCTTTTCAGAGAACTTAGACTGTACATCCCAGAATAGTCTACATACTAACAAGACATATTGTTCATCTGCCCCTTCCTTCTCCCCAGTGCACCAGGTTCCCAAAGAGCCTGCTTCAAAGAAACAGCAAAGTTCGTCAAAGGGCTTACATAGTTGCTATGGTTCATGTCTTCGTTGTTTTGGTTTATTCCCTGATGCATGACTGTTCCTGCTGTAACAGCCTTTTTACTTACCAGCCTATGTTTAAAAAAAAACTTGACCCATATATACATGCTAAACATGTCTTTAAAATGCACCGTATTTCATGTAGAAGAAAATGTCTATTCCTTCCATCATCAGCCTACTGCTATTGATAGCTGATACAGGCTTAGTTCTGTATAAATTCTGGGCTCCTGACTCTACAGTTATCCCATATTACGGACTTAAGATGCACAACTACTAAAAAGAGTTTATTAACTTTCTGTCAGGGTTCTCCTCTCTGACTCCCTCTGTAGGGGAGAGATCAACTTAATGATTTCCCTAAAACACATTTAATTCTGTAATTCATTTATTAAGTAGTTATAGGGTGTAGAACACAATGCCGGTCGTTAAAAGTGATAAGTGTGTTTGATCTGGCATTCTAATGCCATGCAGGGGAAATAGGTAGGGGGTATTTTATGCATGCACAACCCTTTTGACTTTATGATAGGGATATATATGTACATATATATATGTAGCCTGCATGCATAGAGATCTAGAGCATGTTGTCAGAGAGACTATGGTCCTCAATAGTACTGTTCACAACTTGTGATTGAATAAAAAGGAGGACCTTCTCTGAGTGACTGTACTACCTTTGTGACCTTGGGTACATTACGTTACTTGTCCTCTCTGTGCCTCGGTTTCCTCATATTTAAAAAGGGCATTGATTAAAATAACATCTAGGATCTCTTCCAGCCCTAAATCTGTGATCCTGTGACTTTACCCAGATTTTTTTAGTGTATCATTTCATGGGGACACTTTACAATATGGTCATTTTTACTTTGTTTCTCTTCTAAAACTTGACAACAAATTTTCTTGGCCTACTGTACCAAAGACCAGTTCTGAGTCTCTGTAGCCTTACAGAGTTCCATAATATTGAGCCAGATCACACCCAGGAGCCAGCATTAGAAAGAAATTACACATTCTTTGTGAGTCACAGTGTAATTTTCGAACTGATTTACACTTAGCCTAGAAACATCCATTTCCTGTAGCCTAGACCAAAGGGGTTGAACATGCTGCTCCATGTGGCCTACAATGCTACAGAGTTCAAACCAAATTAAAGTGCAATTGGGAAATTTGACAAAATAAAAATACAATAAAACATCAATAATTTACATTTTAGAACTAAGTCCATGTGTACCAGCAAGGATCCTTATGTACAAGTTAGTGACTTCTTTTCTATTTGAGTTTGACACCACTACCTAGATCACTTTTCTAGGCCAAATCTACAGATAATACATCAAGGTTATAAACAAATATTAGTCACTGAATTTAGGTCCTTTGGCCCATTCTGTCCACAACAGGTTGTAAAAATGGTGCAATGACATGAAGTCTGCAAGGTTGAATTGAGAGTCCTACCAACCCTCATTTATGTCCAAATTGATTAAATCAGTGGTACATAACGTTATAATGGTACAAAATTTCATGAGGAATGACCTCTACTTTAGCAAGATGAAGAAAGGTATACTAGACCCTTTCAAGACTCCAGAGAACAGAGAACAATGTGTGGGTGTGACCTAACAGCCTTCCCCTAATTCTTATAATTCATTGGCTTATTCCTACGAAAATACAGATATTAATACAATGTGTTAATGCTTGGACAGCAGCAGGAAAAGAGGTAAATGTGATGATATGACAGAAATTTTCATGTATTACATTTCTAGAGTGAGCTCCCAAACATGGCAACTAAACTGGAAGGAGAGTCCAAGCTGGAAATAAGTTGGCTCACTTTGCTTTCCAGACCCTGCCTCTTAGTCTTATTGGCAGGAGATGTGGGAAATAAGCAAGTTATCCCTTCAACTCCTACACTGAATTTCCCATATGCTTTTACTCTACAGCCTTCAGAAAACAAACACAAAAAGCTTCTGGGATGTGGCTATCAGAAGCTAGTAAGGTCAGCATGTTCACTGTTCTGGGGTTCTTGGGGGTAAGAAGGAAGCTTAAAGGTTGAGAGAGACCGTCCAGTGCAAAAGGATTAAGACTTGTTCTTGGCCTCAAAGGGCAGAACTAGGAATAATTTACAATCCATATAGTACAGGCCCTTTGTTTTATAAATAGAAGTAACTTGACCAAAGTGAAGTGGGTGGTAAGTAGCAAACCCTAACTTTAAACCTAGTTCCTCTAAATCCAGTGTTTATACTAGGCCATATTGTATTCTGAATACCGAGCTGTTAACTTCTGCATTTCCTTCGTCCCACAAGAGTGACCTTCCAGAAGGCTCTTCTTTAATATGATCAGAAGCATATCTTTGAAAGTAAAAGCTAATATTTACAATAGGGAATACTAGAAGCTCTCCCAGCACAAATGAGCAAAGTAAGGATGTTCCCTCTCCTCACTATCATTTGACATAATTCTAGAAATGCTAGCTTTAGCAATAATACAAGAGAACAAAATTGAAGGTATAAATAATAGCAAAGAGGACCCTTGCAGATCACATAATGTACTTAGAAAACCACAGAGAATTGGTGAAGAAAGTAAGACTATTAACAGTTTGAATTAAGTACCAGGATACAAAATCCACAAAAATCATCAGCGTTTTCATGTGGTACTAACAAAAATAAATTCAAAATTACAAAATGCATAAAATAGAAGTTAATTTATTAACGGGAGACATAAATGCAACTAGAAAACGCTTTACAGAAGGGAAGACATAATTGAAGAGATAATATGCTCATGGTTGGAGTGTAGTAATATAATAAAAATGATACTATCTAAATCAATTTACTGATTCAGTGCTATACCAATCAAATTACCAGAGGGAAACTCTATAGAATTAGACAAAACAATAATTCATTTGGAGGAACGAAAGGTCTAGAATCCCAAGAAAAATCAGAAAAGTACTAAGAGAACATAGTATTAGTTGCATTCTAGGTCTCTAAACAATAGTTATTAAAACAATTTAGTAGTGGTTAAAAAACAGAAAAAAATCCATTAGAGAGGAACACATCCGAAAATCAAGAAAAAGGAGTAATTAAACATGGTACTGCAGTATTTGATAAACCTAGGTAGATGAATTACTTAGGGAGGGACTTCTTTTTTAAAGGGAACAGCTGAGAAAACTGGAAAGCAATTTGGCAGAAATCAGGTTTAGACCATCACTTTACCACATAGGTTCAAAATGGATATATAACCTGAATACAAAGGATATTATCATGAAAAAATTAGAGGAGAATGGGAAGGAAGTATCTTTTACTGCTATGGCTAGAGGAAGAACTCAATTTTTTAAAACTGTTATCTTTTGGTTTTTTTTACCTCCATTTTAAAATATAGCCTCTATCCCCTCCCCTCACACAGAGACTTATCCCCTATAACAAAAACAGAAGGAAAAAAGCAGTTAAAACTAAATCAAGTGTGTCTAATATTGCATGCAGTGTTGCATATCTCTAGTACCTACCTCTGCTGATGAGGGGAGGGAGATATATTTTTTTTCATCTCTTCTTCTGGGTCTAACTTTGTCATTATTTATGGTTGCTTTTTTAAATTTCCATTTCCATCATTTAAGTCATTGTAATGTTTTTAGTTCTGCTTACTTAGCATCAATTCACATAAGTCTTCCCATGCTTCTCTGAATCCTTAATATTTTTCTTTTAAAAATTTATTTCTGTTCTGAACTTACCAAACACTAAATAAAATGGGCATTTATATATACATAGTAGAATAGAAAAAGAGGATTGAACATGAAATTGCAGATCTCTATTTACAACTTGCTTTTCTTTTTAAGGATATTAATAAGTTTTTACTTGTAGCTTTCAAAGCTGTCCTGCTTGTCTATATTTCTTTACGGCCTTTTCTGCATTAAAAAAAAAAAA